TTTTTCTGAGGTCAGTTAATGTTACTGCTCTTCAACAGAAGTTCGCCTATAAGATTTTGCTTTTCTGTCACTATTCCGTCACCATTGAATGTAGTAAACACCTTATTAAGCTTCTCAATTTGATTCATGAAAGCTGTGGAAGGTTTTGATAATCCACTCTCACTAAGATGGTCTATCCAGGAGTAAGTTTCATTTGAGGAACTTTTCAACCTCTCATCCTGCAATTTATGGCAAACAAAGCCGGCCAAATTTTTCAGCCGATTATACTCGAGCTCATCCATTTCTTCCACTAAAACTTCCTCGTTATAGTCAGGATACTTCAGGTGCATTCAGTTTAGTCGTTAATGATGCGGTTAGTGGAATGTCCGGAGTATCCTCTTCCTCTACGCTACAATACTCTGAGTATGTGCCTTCGTTTCGCCCTAAAATATATGACCTTATTTTATACTTAAACTCTAGGGGATAAATTGAGCCCTTTGCCTTTTTTCGTAAGCACTTTTCCGCTTTTCCCCATCAACAGATGTAGATGGTCCAGGTGATGATAGATACTTGGGTAATTTTCCATAGGAATGGCGTCATCTTTTAGAGCACGATATCTTTTAGGGGTGTAACCCAAAAGGGTATGTTTCAAATTGACCTTATAGGCACTTTCACAAAAGTACGTCGAGCAAACCCTAGCGCTTTTTACATTGACTTTGATTTTTCTTTTTGTATGATATAGCCATTTATTGCTAAGGTGAGGAAAATTGTGGAACTTCATGTCTTTGCAAGGATTCCGTTCAGATTGGTTGTTGGAATTACATCCCATAACTGCACACAGCATTTTTATCAATTTACTAACATCACAGGGTATATAAAGTATGTATAACTAATACAACAAGTCACAAACCCAACAAAAATCACCAACAAATCGCACTATATAGGATTAACCACGGTACACGAGCACTGCAGTAACATTACGGCAATCCTGCCGCTGGTAACCACGAGCCGACAACTCTCTGGGTGACGTGACGAAGCTCCGCCCACATGCGCAACATCCTATCTTCAGTGTATGTGTAGATATCGTGAGTGTATATGTTTTGTGATGGATACTCGTGAAATACGATATAGTCTAGATAGCGGGGGTGAAACGTCTTATGGCAACACCAAGGACTCCAGGCAAAAACGAGGAAACTGCACTACCGGCATCACGTGACGTGCTGCTTGCCAGCATTCTCTATCTTTATCTAAATGTAAAAATATCAAATATGGCGTTTGTTTTGGTTAATATCCAATACTTCACGAATTTTTTTTGTATTAAATAATACATGGTAATATCGGCAGAGTAGTCATAAAGTCGTAAGCTTTATAAAGCAAAATTCTGCCCATCTAGGCCAACAAATTAGAGGTATAGAACTGGGCAAACTAAATAAAAGTGATTAGCTTATTTACAAGGAATTATTAATTAGTGTCTTCTATATTGTTTCAGAATTATCAAAAAGCAATGCAATGAAGTGAGACATCTGTGTTTTGCAACACACAAGTTGAATTTGGAATGCATATATCTATATTTTCATGTAATACAATTTTTATAACATTGTAAACAGCATTATGATTATTTTTTAAAACTAAATATATTTTGTGCTTCACAATTAGTGTTGGATTACTTTATGAATATTATGTTCATGAAATATACCTTCAATATAGGAAATATCATTTTCAGCAGATTTCAAAATAAGAACAAACGAGGTGTCCGGCACATTTCTTATTTCATGCGCACTCTCATCATTCTTTCGATAGTTACTCCAGATCTCCAGGCAAGTAGGCGGTGCAACCCTCTAACAAACGTCAACGGTGTTGCCATCGTTTGACGTGCAGCTCCCACGTCTTCAGTCTTATGTGTTTTGTGGATAGCAGTACAGTATATTCAGATAAGAGATAGACCGGACATAAACAAGACCACGTGATCATCGAACGCTGTAACATTCGGCAGGGACGTATTAAGAGTCACGCAGTACATATTTTAGACAGTAGATGCTGCTTTGCGTAACTTTGTAGTAAATTAGCACAATTCGATGTGTATACGATTGGTGATGGATATAGGATCATGTGGGGGTGGGGTAAGAAATATATAATGATGTAAATATACATAAAGGTTTCAAAATTTTCGCTTCGATTTCCAGCTTCGGATGCCGCCTGATGTTTGGTGAAATACAGTCGAATATAATCTCAAAATGGCGTTTAAATTAGCCTAAATTGAAAATAATCGTATATCTCTTAAAATTGCTTTTAGAATATTGATTAGTATATTTTTTGATTTCTAGGTAAATATGTAACCAAATTAAAACGTTCAAAACGTAAAAAAATGTGCATGGTTGAACATTGTCAGAAAGTAGATTCTTGAATAGGTTTTGCCAAAATGGGTTCAAAAATGTCAATAATTAATTAAAAAATACAGTAGCTTTATAATTACTTATAACTTACCGAATTTGATGAACGACATCTTTTATTGGAAAGATGAGCTTGATGAGCTTTCATCATCGCTACTGCCTGAAGCACCAACGTCAATAATGAATGGCTCGACTTGTTCCTCTAAAATATTGTCCAGTTCCCACATTCTCTTTTCAACTTTGTCTTTCACGTGCTTAATACAGTTTTCCCATTTTTGCGCTGTTATTAATTCTAGTGCTTCTTTGAAAAGTCCTTTGAGGTCACAAAATTTAAAAGTTGTATTGTGCTTAGCTATATAATTTTTAACCTCTGCCCATATGAGCTCAATGGGATTGAGCTCGCAATGGTATGGAGGTAAACGGAGCACAGTTTTATTTTGACTTGCTGCCATTTCGTCAATGGCGTATTTTTAATATTCCGCCTTGTGATCCTTGACAATTCTTAATAATTGTACTTTCAGCATTGCTTCTTCAAAGTTGATATTTTTCGAGCGGAGCCAATTTTGAACATCAACTTTCCTTGAAGCCGTTGTTGGGACCTTCTCCATTCTTCGAGAATGATAAGGCGCATTATCCAACACAATTACTGCGTTTTCTTCTAAGTTCTAAATTTTTGAAAACCACTGTTCAAACGATTCGCCATTCATTTCCTCGTGGTAATCTCCAGTTTTCTTAGACTCAAAGCACCACAGACCGTCAACAACAAATCCATCCTCACTGCCAATATGGCAGATAATGAGCCTTTTCCCTTTACCTGGAAATCGAAGTACTAACTGGTGTAGATTTATTTCAATAAGCGAACCTTTTTCAAATGTTTTCATCACATTCAGCGAAAAAACATTGAGACATGAGTATCAGATTGCTATAATTGGGATTATTTAGTCATATTGAAAGAAAGAATATTGAACGTCGTATGATTACTCAGCGCTTCACAATTTAATTTAAAGTTATAAACCTTTAAAAAATGAATGATCAGGAACCTGAAATACGCGCAAATATTAATATTAACAAATTATAACTTTATAAAGCTTAAAGTATGAATTAAAATGATTAGAAATATTAGGAACGGTACACAATATAAAACTTAGTAACTTTTTTTAAATTTATAATATTCGACATATTTTAAGATTATATTAAAAAATTATTGAAATATCGAAAACACATAAAAACATGGCTTAAAAAAGTTCTAACAAATGAAAATGACAATAAAACATCCACGCATTTTATCGAAAGTTATAAAAGTTTTGTTACTTGTAATATGTTTTATCTGCCCCCTGGAATTAATGTTTAGAACCTTATTCCCAAGGTTTGAAAAACATCCGATTGTTGTCTATTACTCGTATTTACCTGCTGGATTTTTTAATCCGGTGGACAGTCCATCTAGAAAGGCCCTCCTGGAAGAAGAAGAATCATCAACCCATACTTTACTTGTAGTGTGTCCTGCGTTTACCCACGTTTCATCAATGTAATAAATCTTCCTGTTTTGATTTCTATATTTCCCAATTTTTGTTAAATAATCCCTCCTCCATAGCACAATTTCTTCTCTATCCAGTAGTAAACTATTACGACCCCGTGTTTTCCATTTGAAATTTAAATGCTTCAGTAACGCATGGAAAGTTGATCGTTTGAAATTTGGCAACGTTGTATCTCCATTTACCTCCTGCAGTACTTTATCTATAGTAGGTATTTCATTCCTAAAGAAGAATTCATGCACTTTCCTCCTAATCGCATGCTTATCAGCTTCATCCAATGATTTAACAATACTTTTGCGATGTTTACTGGTCATTGGCTCAGAAAAGGTGTGATTTTTTTTGTATTGTCTTAACACATTAAACACTGATGCGCGACACACCCCAACTTTGTGAGAAACCTTCACAACAATTTCTTTGATGGTTGATGCCTCGTTCTCCTCGCGCTCGATCTTATATATATTCAAAATGACCTCTTTCATTTCTGCACTCAGGAGTCTTTTTTTAGAGCGTTTCCTAGGTGGACTACAGGAGTTTACAACTTCATCGGCAGTATCTGTACTACTGGGCATTTTGCGCAAGCAGTTAATAACAATCAATAACAAGGTATAACAATAACAACGACAAACTCAACCACTTAATAAGATAACAAACGAAAACGTCCAAAGAAATGTCAAATTGCAATGATGCACACGACATACGTAACACGTCTGAACCTGAATGTGACTCTGCCTTGATACGACTGCTCTGCCGCTCGGCATAGGCATTTAATTGCGAATTGACCAATGAGGGCTCCTGTTTTACGTCGAGACGACGGCGTTAGCGTGAAAATCACCCGAACCTTTTGTTTACATCCGGTCTATCTCTTATCTGAATATACTGTAGATAATAATAAATGGCGTTTATTTTACCTGGCTGGTTACATCAGCACAAGCTGTTTTTCAGAACCAACCTCGGCCAGAGCTTCTATACCATCTCGAGCGCTCATGCCGTCGCGTAACTGGTTGCCTAAGCGTCAACTGTAAGTCCCATCACCACTTAAGGATCCAGTTACGAGAGCATTACAGTATTTTCAACTCGGAAGCAGGGGAAAATAGCTGATTAAGTCTTTTTTTCAAAGTATTTTAATACTGAACATTGAATATAAATAATTTCATGAAAAATATATATAAAACATGGATAAGATCTATGTATACATTGAGTATAAAATATATATATATATATCATAAAATATGCAAAAACTTACCAATATTTTATTAACAACGTACCGAGTGATTTTAAACAAAAAAGTAGGGATCAATCAAAGACGTATCATCAATTGGAGAAGCATTAATTCCTAATTTTAAACTTTATGTCGTGCATACTACTAAACGCTATTCGTAGTCCATTTACGCCCCGGCACAAGGATGTAGCGCGGCAAAGCGGCAGCCGCCTAAACGTTGCAGTAGCTATTGGTCATTCGGCCATAAAACTAAGAACTTCATTTTGAGTATAGAAAACGGAGCAAGTGATTATTTTGAGGAGAAGAATACCGCGACCAGGGCAGGAAGATTTATTACTTGGATGAAACCTGGATAAATACAGAACATACAAAACCTAAAGTATGGGCTGACTCTACAATTAAATCAGCAAGACAAGCCTTCTTAGACGGACTAACCACTTTCCTAAATAATCTGTCAGGTAATTGTATCTAACCAATTCGTCATTTATGCTGTAAAAATGATCTCAGGTAGACGGAATCTATGAGCCCATGCTGAAAACTTAGCTACACTAATAAACTTAGCTATATCTGGTAGATTTGGAACCAACATCTGTTAGATACTCTGCTTCTATTATTAGTTTTCTTGAATACTATATGAAATAATTATTTCCAGGAAAAGGGAAACGATTTGTTATTTGTCACATTGGCAGTGAAGATGGCTTTGTGCCCACTGCCCAATGGGCATTTGAGTCAAAGGAAACGACCGACTACCATGAAGAAATGGACGGGAGTTCATTTGAACGACGGTTTAAAGAAACGCTCCCAAAGCTTGACGACAATGCCGTCATTGTACTTGATAATGCTGCATACCACACTAGAAAACTAGACAAAATTCCCACAATGTCCACAAGAAAGGCGGAAATTCAACAATGGCTCCTATCATAAGACATTGTTTTAATATTATTGTTATTGACGAAATGGCTAAAAACCAAAATAAGCCCGTTTTAAAGCGACCCCCTTATCACTGCGAATTAAATCCCATTGAAATGATTTGGGCAAATATAAAAAAACTATGTGGCTTCAAACAATAGAACATTAAAATTTTCTGACGTGAAAAATTTGTTTTATGATGCTGTCAACAGAGTGACGGCAAACCATTTTAAAGATTGCATACGTCACGTTCAAGAGACAATTGAAACAAAGATGTGGTATCTGGAATTAATATTAACCATTCGAACGATGATTCAAATACTTCCAGCGAATAAAGAATTGTGAAAAAATACGGGCACTTCTCTCTATAAAAATAATCAGTTATTTTGTTAGATTATTCCAAGACCTTTGAGGAAAATAAGGATCTGTACAATCTCGCTGTTGGGCATGTTGTGCTTTGTCTGGTCGTAAATGGACTACTGAACTTTTTTGAGAGCATTACTTCGCTGCTGTTTTGGGTTCTATAACAGAAGCAAAAAAAAAATAATCAAGGTTGTCAACTCGAACTTATTATTTTTTAATATTGTACTTTAAAAGCAGCTGAAACGTTAGTAAAAACTGTAATACACAATCTGTTGATGAAATTAATAAATTCGGATCTTAAAACTAAAAACTTTCTAAATAAAAAGTGTCATACTAATCAAGTCTCACTACTCTCATTTTCCACATAAAGAAACACCAAAAGTAAATTGGTTCTGTAACATTAACTTGACCATTCGATAAATATCATTTAATGCTGCTTGTTCTGTGTTTCCATGACCCACTATCAAACAGTTTGTAGCATTTATATTCAGTTTCACTAAAAATGGATCCATATGGATTGTTTCTAAAGTGGTTTCAAATCCTTGAGATTTAAGCACTTTGCGTAACTCCTCAATGCTTCCAATATCTACCTACAAAAATTATACGCTATATCATATTTTGCTAATGGTATTAATATGTGAAATTATGTAACACCTGAAACTTATCATATTTGTGGTTTTCATGCTGAGAATCCTCCAGGTGGTTATATTTAGCAGCCATATAATTATGGAGGGACATAATTGAAATTATGATACTGCATTGAAGTGTAAGTTACTCAAGGTCATTATTTTTATTTTAAAATAACAATATTGGGGTGCAAATAAGTTCTACCTCTTTGTAATAGATGTCGCTATCATAGAGACACGGGTACAGTGATTTCTTTTTTTTATAGTTATGTACACAGCTAAAATTATTCTTAAAAGCAGGCCTCACGTACAAGTATTCGCTCCAAGCATGCTGTGTTTATGCCTATATGAAAATGGAATAGATAGTTCTGAAATCCGGCATTGCCTTCTTTACGAATTTCACAAGGGTAAAGCCAGGGGTCATTCGCTGAGGAATTAGTTGTACGCATAACAGGAATTTAAAGGAATTACGGGGAATTATCAGCAATTGCGAAGAATTAAGGGGAATTACGTGATGAATCAAAGGCATATTTTAAGTCTCCAAAGTGGAAACTGCTTAGTATGAGCTGCAAGTTCAGCAGGATGTGCCAGATGCATGTTTCTTAATACTGGTTCCGCCTAAAGGAAACATTTTATGTCTGCGGAACTACATCTGGGAAAATTTGGCAACATCGTTACATCATCTTGTTCAAGTTTCTAGTCATGCCGCCTTACATGACTGACCCCATCTAACTTTTTTTTAATCACCTTCTAGAAGAAAAAGTTGTATGTAGAAGATAGGGTCTAATATGAATTTCTTAATGTGATTTTTTTGTATATCGGGTGTCTCAGAAAAGTGCTATCTAATCAAGTTGTATATGTTTGAGAATGATGGTCCATTTTTTCTGATTCCAATTGCATATTATTAACTTATAGTCAACGCCAAACAAAGTGGCGTGCACGTCATCACGATAAAAATTCCCCGACCTAATGCCTAGGTTTCTATCACAAACAATTGCTCTATTGCAGTTTCATATTAATGTGATATATAAATTGTAAAATGGTCATTACTCTCTTATTATGGTTAATAGTCATATAAACATTGTTATTAAAATATCACATAAGTTGCTTTCTGATAAATTTAGACGCATTATGCGAAATAAAATGTTTTGCAAACGCTCCAATCACTTATCGACATGTAAACGCACTAAATCGATTTCGCAGCGTTGCCACATTGTCACCTTGAAACTTATTTAAACTGGGAACTGACATTTGTATTAATTTTGACACTGAATCAATTTGTGGCATTTCAAATCTTTATAAATCCTTTGGCCCCGCATACTGTAAATCAACAACCGTTTGTTTCAAAACAAAATTATTCATTTTACGAGTAGATAAAGGCAATTTTGGTATATACAGATGCCCAAACAGTTAAATAGTCGGTGTAAGGAACTCGTGGCCTCGTTAATGCACTACTTTGAGCAAGAAAGGGACAACAACGGGCCTTTGTTGCCTTTAAATGCTGTTCAAGAGGTAGGTTACCATTATATGTAATGTATATTAATAATAGTGAAATTTTATTTCATTTCTTTTAGCGTGTTGCTGCTGCTTTAAAAATTAGTTTAAGGACAGTTAGTCGTATTTCCGAGGGTGTGAAAAGTGATGCAAATTTAGAATCGCCCAAGAAAAAGCGGAGTTATATTAAACGTGTAACCAAAACAGCGACATTGGATACAAGTGCCATTCGAGAAGTGATCTATAATATGTATCACAAAAGTAAGATCTTATTATAATAACTTATCAGAAATTTGCATTAATTTGTTAACTAAATTATAATGTCATATCGACGACCTCAAATCAATACCTCGTAAGTCCGAAAATGCTGATTTTCTTATTTTGATCGCTTCTGATTCCTGTAAGTCTTCCCTAGCTACAGTTAGACAGCGAGCCGTATATAGCTGCTAGTTTGGTTGCATAAATACATAAAACAATACCATGTAAATCGGAGCGATGAAAAATAGATTCAATAGCGCGTATATCTCCTATATTCTAGGTTAAGTTTGCTGTATAGCGTGAATGTGCTGGTAAGTTTGTTGCAATACTGTATATGCATGTGTAAAATAAAACTACAGAATGTCATACTTTGTCAGAAAACTTATTAGATAGCTGAGAACTAAAAATTTTTAAAATAGTTGGTGCCTATTCAGTAATATTCGTTGGTAAAACAGACGCTTGACTTACGAGCTATTGTACATGATATAATAATGAATTTGTGTTCCGGAATATATGACTTACGTGGTATTGTTTTCAATTACAGAATGACACAATATGAGCTCCCGGAGTAAACGTATACTGGAATTGTGTAACAACACACCACATAAAGTACCAGTGGGGTATATGTCTAGCAAAAAAGACAATGTCACTATTACTACTCCGGATATCAGCGAAAAAGAAAACTTCAATATCTTAGATCTACCAGTAGACATAGTCAACGAGAGTTTTATAGAAACGTTTGGTATGATTGATGCAGAAATTCTAGAATCAGTTGAAACTACAAGTCTAGCAGTTCCGGAGTTTGACAATATGGAAATTGTTCACGGAGAAGTTTCAGAAGTCGAAGGACTATCTGAAGCTACAAACTTTGCAGATCCAGAATTCGAGTGTTCAGATATCGTTCAAAATCAAACTCCAGGTGTTGAGGCAGCAGCTGAAAATGCAGGACTCGAAGTTTCAGTACTTAAGGAGATGGGTTGCAAAAAGATAGTGAAATACAGTCAAAAGTCACGAAATATCGTGAAAATAGTTTCAGCGACGAGGAAGTACAGGCACAACCACGAAAACGCTTAGCTGGTGGAAACTTAAAAAAAATCAATCAAGATCTTCGAATGAAAGGAAAGCAATACATAGGCTACAGAAGGCCAAAAAATCAAACGAACACGTTTCACGATGCACAAAGGGAACCGAGAAAACAATCTTTAGGATGTTCGTCACAATTTTGTATTAAGTCATCAAAAAGAAAATGCAATGAGGTTGATGAAAGTATACGCCAAGATATTTTCAAAAAATTCTGGTCTGATTTAAACTGGGAGCAGAGAAAAACCTATGTGGCAAGCTTGGTCATGAACATACCAGTCAAGGATAAAAGAAACATGATGAATTTGGAATCTAGACGCACTGGTACATTGAAATATCATTTGAAGGTAGGCTCGGTGAATATGCCTGTGTGTAAGAAAATGTTTCTTTCAACATTTGGACTGAGAGAATGGCAAGTACTTCATTGGGTATGTAAGAGTGAACACGGAATTCATGATAAAAAACCAGAAAGGAGAGAAATAGGAGGGATATTGTCAAATCGGCAATCTAATGTTTTTATGAAGCAATTTTTAAATAACTTAAACAAATTGCCGTCGCATTATTGTCGTAAGGACTCAAAAAAATTATACTTAGAACAGTCGTTCAGAAACATTACGAGTCTTTACCAGGCTTATGTTCAACATTGTGAGAAGTCGAATGAAAAGCCCATGAGCCAAAATTACCTTACTAAGATGGTGAAGAAACTGAATATTGCGTTGTATCAGCCCAAAAAGGATGCTTGTGACATCTGCTGTCAATATGAAGAGAAAAACATCTCTGAAGTAACTTGGAAAATACATCAAGCTTTTTTATGTTGTACCTGATAAAAGATAGCATAGGTCCACAAAAAGGTTTACCGCGGTCAGGCATTGCTTCAGCTCCATTTAGTTCTTTTTATCTCCATTCGTTATTATCGATTGTAAGGCGAGTTTTGGACTAAGCCGCCCAACAAACATAATGTAGTCCCAACTACAGTCCAATTGTTTTATGTGACCTATGTCTTCTTAACAGGTATACTTTAAAATAGCTGTTTAACTAAGTTATAACTTATTTGCTTATTTTTATTTTGTTTTTATGGAATTTAAAATTCCCAGGTGACTACGACAAAAACACGTAAGTCAAGGATTTTTTGTATTCAATAACTCGTATGTACAAAATAAAGTGAACAACAAACAGTTATTGTTCAAACCAGTTATAGGAGTCGATTTAATATCTCCAAGATCCTAAATATTAATACCTCACATGGATATGATCTTTTATATTCAAGCTGTGCAGTTTTTTATGCCTCCTGCAAAATGCTACTTTTTGATATACGAGGTATTGATTTGAGGTCGTCGATATTACACATGGTTTCAGAAGAACAAGTTACGATACAAACTTTATGGTCTCGATTAAGAGATAGGGCATTATTTGATGGTAGTGCCACGTCTTTAAGGCGGTTGCTTAGAGATCTTGGATTTAAGTGGCTTAAGGACAATCCGCGACGAGGGCTCATGGAACTACCAAGTATAGCTTTGAAAAGGGTGGAATTTCTAAGGCAATACAATCAAGCCAAGGTTGAGGCCTTATACCAGTTGTCTTCCTCGATGAAACTTGGATATTTCAAAATGGGACCATAGGTCGCTCTTGGCAAAATGGAAACCAAAAAAGCGTGAAAGCTATTAAAACAGATGGTAAAAGGTATGTACTTTTACACAATTTGCACTATAAAATTTAAAACTAATATATTTTAGATACATTATATTACATGCTGGAAATGAAAATGGGTTTATTGAGGGTAGTGAAGCGATATTTTCTTCGAAAACAAAATTGAGCGATTACCATGGAGAGATGAACCAGGACAATTTTTTGAAATGGTTTCAACATCAGTTATTAGAAAAATTGGAGAGTCCATCTATGATTATACTGGATAACGCCCCTTATCACAGCATGATATTGAACAAAGTGCCCAACAATGCATGGACAAAAAAAAATATCCAAGACTGGTTGACAAATCAAAACATACCATTTTTAAACACAATGTTTAAAACAGAGCTATTGAGTATTATTGCTCGGTACATAATGCTTCTTAATTATATATATTTTGGTCGACAGTTTATATTTCTTTTGTTTATTCCTATTCTTAAAATAACTGCTTTTTTAGAAACAAACCACCTAAAATATACGTGATTGATGAATTGGCGGAACAACATGGGCACAAAGTTCTTCGTCTGCCTCCTTACCATTGTATATTTAACCCTATTGAGTTAATTTGGGGCATAGCAAAAGGTTACTATAACAGACATATTGGTAGAGATGGTAACAGTGAAAAAGACTGTTTGGATATGTGGAACGAGGCTCTACAAACGGTTACCCCAGACATGTGGAAAAATAGTGTTCGACATACTGAGCAAGAAATTTTTAAATGGTATGAAAGAGAACGAATTTTTGATCGACCAGACATCGAACCTTTAATAATCAACTTTGAGAGTGATGAAGATTCAGATTCAGACAGCGCTGAAGAAAGAAACTCCGACTAACTTTATTGTACAGAAAAAGCTTACACCAGTAGCTTACCTAATTTTAGAATGCATTTTTCTGTATGAATTCTGTAAAATAAATACCATGCATAAAATTTGGAGGACCCCATTTGGATTTTTATTCAGTACCTTTAAGCTATCAATTAAATATGGTAGTTTCATAGTGCCATCTGATCAATAATTGTCATACTTAATGATTATGCAAGTACAGATCTATAATTTTATTATACTATTATTTTTGTTCTCATTTGAGGTTAATATTGCTTATAAACCTAGATATGTAAATAATAAATTTTATTATTTTACAAAAAGTTTGGCAACAATGTAAATTTTTCAACACACCCACCTTGATGACGTGCACGCCACTTTGTTTGGCGTTGACTTATATTTTTATTACTACAGTCATAAACTTGAAGTTTATGTTCTATTTAATCATAGTATGTATTCCGGACTATATCTGATTGCATAGGCGGTTAGATGCAAACTGGTTTGCACTCGGTTACACAGTAAATGACACTCACGCTTTCAGTTTTTGATCAAAATAAAAATAAAAATGAGGAATCATATATATTTTGAATTGGAAACAGGGACTATTATTTTTTCATCAATTACTCCATATTAGACTATATCTTCCATATCCATCGTGTAATAGATATACACTGGCAATATGATCTCTATACCTAATACATGGAATCATTTATAAGGGAAGTATTTATTTAATTTATAATAGTAATAATAAAACATGTATACTTTAACTTAACACTGTGATGTATTTTTTCAACATTAGAAACATTTATAGTTTAACTGAGTTTTCAATATGTATAATAGAATCTAAAATGGTGAATTAGAAGGCTTGAACTTATCATATAAAACAGTTTTTATGATAGTAGCTGTCAAAAGAGTTCATTTCCTTCAATTTCCAATAATTCCTGACAGGAGTTTCGGTGAATATGCGGGATTTACGAGGGAATTATGTAAAACAAGGGGAATTATTGGGCATTGATAGGAATTACGGGGCAATATTTCTCGTTATTGTACAGATTTTTGGGTGCGGATTACCCCTCGGGTAAAAGTGCGGCTGAAGCTCGTAGGAAAATCATTAAGACTTTTAGTGGCAGTGTTACATGTTACACATGGTTCCGAGAATATAAAAGTGGAGATTTCGAATTAAATGATAAACCACGCTGTGGTATACATCAGACGAATAGTGATTCCAAACTACTAAACCTACTATCACGTCTCTGCGCAAACTCAACAGCAACCCGCTAAAACGTTAGGCGATACTCGGCAAGCTATTTCAGAGATGATGCACTAGGAATGATTCAAAAATAAGAAAAATAGGTACCCATTATCTAACTGAAGAATAACGTGAGGCGGATATATAGATACATGTCTGTCGCTGCTTTCAAGGCACAACAAGAAGAGTTTTCTGTGGAAATTAGTGTCAAGAAATATATTTTGAGAATCCAAAACTTCAGGTCAAGCCTGGCTAACAGACAACATCTATACGTAAGGGCAATGTTTTCGGAAAAAAGTTAATACTCTGCATTTAATGGGCCATATGGGGAGTTTGTATTATACCAGGAGAGACTGTTACTGGTGAACAATACTCTTTTCATAAAAACGTTTGGCGGAAAATACGCTAGACCTTATACAAGTTCCGAAGTACTCAAAACCATATATCTAGAGTGGGGAATATTTCCGCATCTGGCGTTCTCGCCAGACATTGCACCGTGAATTTATTACCTTTTTTGGGCATAGTCAAACTGTTTACAGAAGCATCACCTTCAAGATTAAACTGGACTATGGAAAATGCTGGTTGACTTCATACCATTATACAACCAAACCTTCTTTCGCCATGGAATTCAACAGCTACCTGAATGTAACTATGCCTATGCCTATATATTGATTAGGGTTTGTTTATCTTTTTATTTTTTTAAATGAAAGAGGATTGATAAAAATTGACAGAACTTATTTGCACACCTAATAATAGAGTGAATGTGCCAGTAACCTCGCTACTAACAGTAGTCGGGCAAATCTTATTGAGAATAATTTGAATATTGAAATTCTATACTTGCTGGTAATTGGTACCAGATTTATCAACTCATTGGCGTCTACAAAAATTTCACCATCCAGAGTTGTCATACTGACAATTTATGTAGGGTGTGTAATGAGTGACAATAAACTTTAAAGGTATCCGGATTCGTCAGTTGACATATGCAGAAGACATTTAAAATTTACGAAATAAATTATTTTTATATGTGTTTTTAATACTATGAGGTAAGATTAGAGTGGCTGCTAACTGGATCATCATACTAGTCAAAATCCAATGTCATAATGTATCCTTTTATATCACACCATAGATAATATAAAACTGCTCTCTTGGAATTGAATAAACCAAAACATCATAACAAAGTTCCAACCGGTGGATAGACAGCAAAAGATAAAAAAAATAATATAGATTATTTGAGTGCATGAAATTTCATAGCAACCCAGTAACCAACTACTACCATTTTCCCGCCATGTTTTCAAGTGTAATGGAATTTTATATTTTCAATGAAGATATTTTAAAGAAGGAAGCTGTGAGAAATATTGGGAAATTGTGTGGAATATGTAGTCACTATGGTATTTCAAAGTCAACAGTGAAGGACCAGATTGAAGGAACAAATTTAGTTTATATGTAATGTTGTATTGAAATGATTCAATTTGATTACAGTGTACTCCGTCTATAACGTACATGAGATATAACGTACTTCCGGTTATTACGTACTTATCTCATTGGACCCACCCAAATAGTCTTTTAATTTTACTGGATATATCGTACTGATTACAATTTTAACTCCGGCTATAACGTTCAATATTTTTAGCCACTTAGTAGCCATATTCTGGTTATAACGTACAAACGTTATAAACAGAGTAATTCTCCGCCTCTGTCGACGATTCCCATTAATCGATACTGGGAAGTTTCACCGCTGCCAGGTGTTGGCAGGAATGCCGCCAGTGCGGCACCGGGGATTTCCAGTAATCGACTCTGGGAATTTTTATAGCGCGGAATGAAATGTCAGGTAGTTTTAGATTGGACGTTTCATTTAACTGAGCAAATTTTTAGTATTTATTGTTTTATTAAAATGACAGATACGCGCAAAGCTATGAGTTTAAAAGCAAAGATAGACATCATCAAAAGTAAGGAGAGTGGCATAGGCATATCGAAATTGCGAAAGCGAAAAATATGGCAAAAACAACAGTTTCTACAATTTGGTGCAATCGTGAAAAAATCAAGCAAGCAAGTGTATATAAATCGCAGAGAATTAAGAAAATTAGAAATCCCATACGTCCAGATGTGGATCAGGCTCTTGTACGATGGTTTGAGGTGAGAAGGACCGAAAATATTAGTATAAGTGGTCTAATTTTAAAAGCTAAAGCGGAAGATTTATCCAAGGGATTACCCGGTGGCAATTTTAGGTGCACTACGGGTTGACTCCAGCGTTGCAAAGTTCGTCACAACATAAATGTCGGCAAAGTGTCTGGTGACGCAGGAGATGTTAACAAGGAAGCTGTGGTGAACTGGTTATCGGATCAATGACCAGGCATTGCACAAAATTACAGCTGTGAGGATATTTTACAAGATGACTCCAGACCGTACACTTAAATTAAGAGGAGAAAAGTGTGTGGGAAGCAAACAATCAAAGCTGAGATATATTGTTTTGGTTTGCGCAAATATGAAAGGTAGTGAAAAATGTAAACTTCTTGTTATTGGTAAATATGAACGGCCGAGGTGCATGAAAAATATTAAAACTTGCCTGTCATTATTATAAATCGAACAGACGCGCATGGATGACTTCAGACATTTTTATTAATTATTTAAAGGAGTAAGATGAAAAACTAAGACTATCAAATCAAAAAAAGTATTGCTTCTAGTTGACAATTGTGAAGCTCATCCTAAGAATGTAGATCAGACAAACATCAGATTACATTTTTGCCTCCCCATAATAAAATGCCTTAAAACATATTATCGTAGATATCTTATGTATCGCCTAATCCGAGCATTGGATAAGGAGGAACCTTTCAACATAACAATTTTAGACTCGATAAAATTAATTGCACAATAATGGAATGAAGTTTCAAAAACACCATTAAAAACTGCTTTCAACATGCTCGTCTAGTGCAATCGATCGACGAGTTTGATTCAAATGATGACTTGTCTCTGAATCAATAGTACGAGAAATACAAAAGTGTTGATGATGATGTTTGGAACGTCTCCTAAGGTGATTAGTTGCAAAGTCACTGCCCAGACGTAACTACTATGGAAAAATATCTTCCTGAACTAGATAATTTCGCGACCATGAATGATAATTTGGTAGCAACAGAGACCTTAATGGATTGTGACATTATTGCTGAAGGTGTAGAGTCAAACTATTCAAAGAATGATCTAAGTTCCGATAACGAAAGCGGCGATGATGATGGACAAGTGAACAAACCAATTCCAAGTTATTCTGAAGCACTTTGTGCAATTAAACTGTTTTTACAATTTACTGATTACGGATCAGATGATACAATTTTACAAGCCTCATCAAAAGTTGAGAAGCACATCAAAAATATAAAAGCGTGTAAAAAAATTAACAAACAAAAATAAGTTATTTTTTCGAAAAATCATAACTATATGCGTAATTACATATGTAATTGTAAATATTTAATTTGATCATGTTCTATTTCAATGTTATATGCTACACATTCTTATTAATATATCTTTTTCATATTACATACCTATAATTTATTTTTAGTTAGTTTAGTCCTTTAATAGAACCAAATAAAAATTTACATATTTATTTTTATGGGTTTCCTTTATAGTGTACCTCCAGTTATAAATTACTAGTTTTTTTCTCCCTAGAGGGTATGTTATAACTGGAGTCGACTGTATATTCAATATATTTTCCTCAGTATAATGTAGGTAATGATATAACTGATTTGAAACGTCTGTTCTATCACAAATTGTTGAATATATTGCTCTCTAAATAAATTAGTCAATCAAATGCTGTCTAACTGAGCTGGCGACAAGCCGCCTGACCATTAGCGACTTCTGAGTACTGGCAAAATAGCTCCTTTCTGGTGAATTTTTTTTATAAAATTACAGGAATATCTATAAGCAATGAATTTGTTGATGGCGAAATGTTAACAACATATGGGATCATCACTAAAACATTTAGTTATCTTGAACACAAAATTTGTAATAACATATCAGATTTCTTTTTTGTCTAAACTGTTTGGCCACTGCCACAATCATCCTATGGAATTACAAATTGCTATTTCACCCAAAATATTTTAGCTCATATTGGTATTTCATATATTACCAGGTCCAAGACTGGATTCTCCACTTTTTTTCAATAGATGAATTGATGCCAAAACTAGGCAAGGCACTATATTTTTCCACAATAGCATCAGTTAATTTCGAAACTTCAAATTTACTAATGCTTAAATTTTGAAATTTTTGGTACATTGTTGAGATATCCTCTTGCTGCAATCTGAAAATATAAATGTTTTCTGTTAATAAACATTCTGGAAGTTCTAAATTGGACAGTCGAAAATTCCCATGTTTTTAATCTTATTAGTACTAGCAGATGAGAGCAAGGTTGAGAAACATTTGAAAATTGTACATATAATTCAGAGATATAAAACATTATCATACCCCAAAAAGTTTAAATATAAATACCCTGAGCGTTTTTATATTTAAGTTTCTCTTTTCTTGTAAGTTTAATTATGTTGAATATGAGTCAATAAGCTTTGTGTGTTTTTGAATAAACATGCTTATCAAAAAGATGTTCAGTTAAAGATTTTTACTATGTCAAGATACTCAGAAATAAAATTACATAAACTTTATACTAACTTTTCTAATATAAGCTGAGCAGCCTTTTGTTTGGCACTCTTTTTATTTGGTCCCATTCCTGTTGTTGACCAATTTAAAAATCTACATTCTACAACAAAATTCAAACAGGTTCCTATATTTTCATTGTATGAAGGATATGGAAACTGTCTTGCTGATGCAAACTCATTCAACTGCCCCACATAGTTCGCTAAGGGTAAGATGTTATTCAGTGGTACAAGTGAACATTTTGGTTGATAGGGCACAATTTCATTGTTGTTAGTAGTATTATTCATTTTGTATCCTAGGATGTCTAGAGCTTTTTCAGCAGCCCTGTGCTTACAGTCTTTCTTGTTACACCCATATGCCTTTGCTGTGATCCCAATTGCATCCACAGTACATATAAATGAATGTCCAACTTCTAATGAGTGTTCAATATTGTAAACAGGGGGGCATAGTCCTCTCTGTTGAGTTATTTCTTGTAAAACTGATATTGGACTCTTTACACTCATCTAGAAGATTTAAAATGTTATAAGACAGGTATGATCACAAAAAATATGTAGTGTATAGTAGGCGTTTAGAAGACTAGAATCAAAACGAAATGATGAGCAGTATCTGCAAAAAAATGTATTAATATTTCTAGTTTCAAATCTTACCTTAAAAAGCTAGTTAAATTCACTTGTATTTATTTTTTCTACGATTTTCAGTACTTTCTAACTTCCACCCGGATATTTCCACTCTTTTTGATAAGAAAGCTTGTTATAACGGGTCTGTTTTTGATGATCTTGCATCAGCTTTATCAGATGTCAAGCACCGTTGTCGATAAAAAAACTGACCAATCAGAAATCTTTGCGTATCTCTCCCAGAACCCAGCCTTCCTTCCCACTCTAAGGGATTCCCAGAACTCGTTTGGAGTGTCATAGGAAAATAGGAATGTTGAAGGGCAAGTCATAAAATGATATGGGGAAGTTCAGATACTGTTCACAAAACAAAACATGAAGAACTGAAAAGGTTTAATTCTATGCTACTTGACAACACGACTGACTTATCTACTTGTCAGCTGCCATTTTTTGAGGAGTGCGGTATCGTTGCCAGAGTGTGCTCATGCCGCGCAACGTCGCCAGCTCTACATATAAATATGAGATTGCTATACTTTTTTATATATGTATACAGGGTTATCCAAATTAAGTGTCCACCATTAGTAACTTTGTTATTAGTGAAAATACAAAGTTGTTTGAATTAGCAAACTAGTAGCATTTTTAACGCTGGTAAAAATGAGAAATAAAAAAAAACAATTGAGAGTCGTTATTTTGATTTTTTTCAGTAAAATAACATTTTTTTAAATGGAAACCCCTGTATATTATATTTTTTTCTGTTAAAGCATCAAATTTTAAACAAAAAAGCTTACAATAACTTTTCTCCTAGGTTACAAATTGTTGAAGTTATGGCCTCCAATCTGAAACAATTAAATTGTATCGACAAACTTTATTTTCAACATCAACTTATAATCTTACAAAATACAATAACAATTTTTTTTAAAGAAGATGCTCGAAAACACCACCTTGTTCTTCAATACATTTTGGGCACGTTTTTCAACTGCTCGAACTGTCTTAAGTATGGTCCTACCATCTATCTGGGTTATCTTTTCCCTAACTGCAGTCTTTAACGCGTCAAGGTTATCGTACCTTCGCTTGTAAATTTGGTTCTTTAAGTAACCCCACAAGAAGTAATCAAGTGGGTTTAGATCTGGTGATCTGGGAGGCCACTGTATTGGGCCATTTGTTCCTATCCACTGATCATTAAAAGTAGTACTTAGAAAATGATAAGTACCTCTGGAGTTGTGGGCAGGTGCGCCATCTTGCTGAAAATGCAGATGATGTCTACTTATAAGATCCAATTCGTCTAAGAGATTAGTCAGAATTTCTGACATAAATTCCACATATCTTTCACCAGTTAGGGTTCCCTCATAAAAGAACGGGCCAACAATTTTTGAACCAATTATACCGCACCAAACGTTGAAACTGAAACGGACTTGTGGGCCTCTTGGATGTACTAACAAAAGATTTTCTCTTGACCAATAATGGTGGTTTTTTCTATTAAACATTCCAGAATTTGAAAAATTTGATTCATCTGTCCATAAAAGGTAACGAAAGTTATTTACATTTTGGCGACAGAAGCTAAGATACCAATGGCAAAAAAACAAGTCTTCTCTCTGGATCCCCTGCCAAAAGCGTTTGAACTGGTCGGTACTTATACAGAATAAATTTGTATTTTTTTAAAATCCTTTGAACAGTACCATAACTGAAATTAGAGTCCTTGAGAATATCTGCTATTGAATTCTCACGATAAGCTTCAAAATATCCAATAACTGCAATTTCCGTGGCCTCGCTTATTATGAATTCTTTTTTTGCCCTTGTTTTAGCAAAAACATTTTCGTTGCCCCTAAATTTTCGATAAAGTCTCAGAAAATATCGTTCATACGGTTGAATGCGAGCGGGATATAATTCACTGTAGTATTCTCTTGCTCTCAAGGAGGATTTTCTGCACACTAAATAGCATTCTAACATATCACACTTTTCTTCATGGGAGAACATTTTTCTTTAAATTAATGACACAACAAAGCTTATAAACAAGTATTTACACTAATGTTTGACATTATTTGATTTTATCATTGTTTTCCAAAGCCTTCTAGTTGCGAGTATGTCCAGTTTAACAATTTGTCGCTTATCTTAATGCTGTCAAATCGCGAACGCCATGTTGTTTTCATAGCCGTCTTAATATTATAATACTGCAAATAATTAAAAATATTTATCGTTATTTTGACTTTATTTTTGACTTTAGCGGAAAAGTCATTATGAACTTTTTTGTTTAAAATTTGATGCTTTAACAGAAAAAAATATAATATACAGGGGTTTCCATTTAAAAAAATGTTATTTTACTGAAAAAAATCATTTTTACCAGCGTTAAAAATGCTACTAGTTTGCTAATTCAAACAACTTTGTATTTTCACTAATAACAAAGTTACTAATGGTGGACACTTAATTTGGATAACCCTGTATATACTACTACTACTATATACTATACTACTTCGAAGTTGAGTCATTTATTTTAACAGTGAGTAGATCTGATCAAAAGAAATGTTTTTTTCCTTTACCATTTTTCTGGTAAAATTAAAGTAACAAAGTTATAGCCCTTTGGAAGTTTGAGTACCGCCCTGTCTCAATAATGATATCATGTGCTCGTGTTTGGCAACAACGGATATAATCCGCCTTACCGGTTCATCGCATCGGAAACAAAAAAGCGAAAGAATTTGGAACGATGTTTTTACAATAAATTATTTTATTCAGTTCAGTTATACATACAGTCAGTGTCAGTCGGTTAGCGTGTGAATAGTGTCTGTTGCGTGGCTCAAACGAAATAAAAAATGGCACATGTTTACGAAAATGCTGAACTTGTGGACATGATTCTTATTTACGCGGCATCACGGAATTATGCGGATCGGTTTCCCAATCGAGTGCAACCAACCCCTCGTGCCTTTGTTAATGTAGTACAACGGGCTCGTGAATCAGGTGACTTAAGACCTCACAGGGGACCTCACGATCAAATACTACTTTATAAAACAAGGTAACATTTTTTTTTATTTTTACACACATATTTTGGTTTATCTCCCTTCTACAATCATTATCTGAAAATTAATGACTCAACTTCAAAGTCACCCTGTATATATATATATACAGGGTGTCCGCAAAGTTGGGGTTGTCCTTTTCAGAAACAACTACCCTTGAAATAACAAAGGTAATGTGTAGTGAAACAAGGGCGACCAAGTAAAAAAAATTCGCCATAAATTAACAACATATCAACGAGTTCATTATTGGTGTATGAGTGTGCCATTATTATTTTTTTTTTTGAAACGCAATCGATTATACGGGTTCGTTTACCTCTACACGCGTGACCGTAACCGTCGGTTGAAGGTTGCATACTGACCTGACACACTGACCCCGACCCAGTTCTGTCGTCGGGTTGAGCCAGTGACCTTGTACCACTCGGTGATGTCGCGGGTCGCGGCTACAGGACGGTATTCAGATATTTTTGATGTTGCAGAGCCCTTTATCTCGGTTCCCTTAAGACATTGGTGTATATGGTACTAAGAAAAATTGCTTATGTTTTCAAGATCTACACGTCGTGAAAAGGAAAACCCCAACTTTGCTGACACCACAGGGTGACTTCGAAGTTGAGTCATTTATTTTAACAGTGAGTAGATCTGATCAAAAGAAATGCTTTTTTCCTTTACCATTTTTCTGGTAAAATTAAATTAACAAAGTTATAGCCCTTTGGAAGTTTGAGTACCGCCCTGTCTCAATAATAATATTATGTGCTCGTGTTTGGCGACAACGGATATAATCCGCCTTATCGGTTCATCGCATCGGAAACAAAAAAGCGAAAGAATTTGGAACGATGTTTTTACAATTATTTCATTCAGTTGTATATAGTCAGTGTCAGTTGGTAGTGAATAGTGGTGTCTGTTGCGTGGCTCAAACGAAATAAAAAATGGCACATGTTTATGCGGATCGGTTTCCCAATCGAGTGCAACCAACTCCTCGTGCCTTTGTTAATGTAGTACAACGGGTTCGAGAATCATTTGACTTAAGACCAACATATGGACGGCATGCCGGTGCTCCAAGACCTCACGATCAAATACAGGTCCGCACTGAAATACTTGTCGGGAGGATACTTTATAAAACAAGGTAAAATTTTTTTTTATTTTTACACACATATTTTGGTTTATCTTCCTTCTACAATCATTATCTGAAAATTAATGACTCAACTTCAAAGTCACCCTGTATATATGAGCAGTAGTCATTGCCAAAGCCAACGACCAGTTGGGTACAAAATACAATTACTTGTTAATTGGGAAATTGGCAAAACTTTTAGGCTTAAGTTGACTCTTTTGACGATAAAAATCGAGCGTGATCCATAACGTTCTTCAATTTGTTGGAAGTATCCCAAATCTGTGGAAAAAATATAAGAAATAATTATATTCGCTGTACACTGTTAACAGTAATTACACACAACGCGGGCACGGTGGCAATTTCTCGTAATACTCCTCAAAGTTTTTGGAAATACAAAAAAAAAACGTAAAGAATCGTAATTGATAACTTTGAACATAACATGCCTTGCGAAAGGACAACATATATGTAGATAACCCATCGGGCACAGCTAACGGATATCTTTCATTAGCAGCATATTGAGTAATGATTTTTTCACCCAGCAAATATCACTGATTTTATACACATGCAGACCGATACACACAATCATACAGATGCAATCTTGCTATTTAACCAAATAACCAACTTTCTTCTCAGAGTCTCAGAGATGAAAACTATGGACCACTCGGCTTCACAAAACATATGCAACCAACCATGCGTGTACGTGTAGTTGTGCTATTCATCCATAGATGAACTCTCACAACGATCCTAGTGAGCAAGCGTGGAATGACTGCTTGCACCCTTACAACTACCTAGTTTGCAAGTTGACATCTTATAGGTTTGTTTTGACGTTTTATAGGTTTTTCACATAATACCCATGCAAGTAGGAGGTGCAACCACTTGACAAACGTCAACGGCGTTGTCGTCGTTTAACGTGTAGCTCTTACTTCTTCTGTCTTATCTGTTTTGTGGTTTGACGTTTGACATTTGATAAATGTTGATGGCCGCCCATTAAATTTTTCCCTCTTTCAACCAGCTTTCAACTCAAGGCGCAAGGAAAGCATTCCCAATAATAACTAAATATTCAAGCTGATGAACCAGCGATCTTTTTGGAAAATATTATAGAAACAAGGCGCTCCAAATAATGGCAGACAGCATAGAAGAGTTATACGAAACGTATAACATTCTCACGGAAGCAAAAGAAAATGTATCCAAGGTTAGTTTGGTTTATCAAATGAACATTTGAGTTTTACTATAAATATTTTCAAATTTCAGCACTCCCAAGAGTATTTGAAGTGTATGGAGCGTACCAAAGGTAATGACAAAGAGAAGAAGCTCGCAGCACAAATAGTCTCGAAGTTTTTCAAACATTTTCCTGATCTTCAAGAAAAAGCTTTAAATGCCATATTCGATCTTTGTGAAGATGATGACAGTATGGTAAGCTAAACACCATTTATAATTCATACGTTTACTAGTTCAACTAGAGCAAGCTATAGATCTTTCAGGTAAAGATCAGTTATAGTTTTGTCCAACCCGTCGAAAATCATAGCGGTGTTATGTAAAACTGACAAGATGTCAATGAAATATATCTATTAGCTGTTCCCAACAGGTTACTTATATGTTGTCCTTTATGAAGATAGTTTATATAAAAAAACTTTTTAAGATATACCATATTTCACGAGTATCCTTCACAGCAGAATGACAGCTGATTATCTAGTAACGTCATAAAATTCTCTAGATTGGCACAGGACACAATTTTGACGGATCCGTCAACGCTGGGTAGACAGAGCCAAATTGTGCTTTGTTTTTTTGTATGCTACAGATCCCTTTTTTTACTTGCCTACAAACAGCTCTTTTATTTAGAAAGGTTCATTTCCTTACAAAAAACACCATGCCACAAACAAGTTTTACTAGATTTATACCCGATCCATTATTGCCATTAATGCAGACTAACACAAAAATGTCACTTGCTGATCAACTGGTCACCTCGGCATACATTAAAGCATGATGGATACTTGTGAAATAGGGTTTACATAATACCCGTGCTGTTCTATAATGGTGACGCGCATGCACATTTAAGAAAAACATATTCTGTATCATAATAGGACAGTTCTGCATTTCATTCCAACCAATGTTGGGATCATTTGGAAACGGTTTTGTTACATTGAACTCAGTACCTGTATTGAAGGGGGATCAAAGGAACTGACTTGCGCAGTACAACTGCCTCTTACCTCCAACTAAAATGTAACCATGCTCTGATAGCCTATGTATTTTCTATTTAAAGTTAATTTCTTGATATTCTCATGCTTTCATGAGTAGTGACAAATTGGTTATCTGTCACTTCCTTAGTTATAAAAACAATTCTAAAATCCTTTCAACCAACTTCCATCCCAGAAACAATTCTGGAGTCATGACCAGTCAGAGCATGGGTGGAAAAGCAGACAGAGTCTGGAACAGATTCATGTTTTTCATATTTCTTATTTTTTTTTAAGTTTCATAAAACATATTTTTAGAAAAATCTTTTTTTTAATTTTTTCCCCAATGAAGATTAACTGCGGGAATTTTACGTTGCTCCGGCCGATTTTTTGGCTGTGTTAGCAACATTTTTTTCAGGAAGTGGTCATCATTATAAACCTTGTTTATATAGGGTTTATAATGATGACTACACAGTTTGAAATTACATATTTTAGTGTTGTATTTTCACTCCCATGTAACAGAAAAATCAAGTTTAGTAACCAAAAATCGGAAAATTTTTAATTTAAGAATTATTTTTGGTTGCTGTCACATAGGTACTTGGTTTAGCTATTACATGGGAAAATATGACTGTTTTTGGTAGAATGGTGACAAAATGTCTAAATTTCAAGAAGAATGGTTGACAAAGAAAGACTATTTGATTTCACATTGGGCCATAAAGCACAGTGAAAATGAACTTTTTTGCAATGTTTGTCTTAAAGTGGTTCACATTTTCACATATAGATGGCCAAAAACAAAAAAAATAGTAACATATAAGTGTCTCAAGATTCGGAGAAAGTAGGTAGTTCTTTGCTTACTCTAACAAACCTTAAAGATGCAGCACTTAAAGCCGAGCTAATGTGGGCCCTTAAAGTTGTAGCATCAAACTTTTCGGCAGATTCAGTATCTGGGATAGCTAGTTTGTTTAAGAAAACGTTTCCAGCTGAAGGTGCTGTACCAGATCAATTGTCCTTAAGTCCGAAAAAAATAAGTTATCTTATTACAGATGCGCTAGGTCCCCATTTCAGAAATGAAATGCTTGAAGAAGTCAGAAATTCTCATTATTCACTTCAATATGATGAGATGACCAATAATGCTGGAAAGAAAGAGTTGCAAATAAGAATAAAGTTTTGGTCAAAAAAAGCAGGCCAAATAGTATCATTTCATTTAGAAAGCTTTTATATGGGCCATGCAATGGCAGAAGATCCTAAAAGTGCAATTTTAAAAGCAATAGATAATGCCAACTTGCCATTAGCAAAACTTATCTCCATCACTAGCGACGGTCCAAACGTTAATAAAAAGATATTACGCCTTCTCAATGAGTATATTTTGAGAATTCGAGGTAAGGCGCTAATGGATATGGGGTCATGTACCATCCACAATGTTCATAATAGTTTTTTGAAGGGGGTTAGGAGAAGATTGCTGTAATTTAATTATAGCTATATATAATTTTTTTGATGGATGACCTTCAAGGTGCGAGGACTATAATGCGATACAACGAAAAAAGAGTGTTCCAGAACAAAAATTCTTAAAGCATGTTAGTAGCAGATGGCTAACTTTAGGTCCTGCTATTGAAAGGATTTTGGAACAATGGGAGGCTATTAATGAGTACTTTCTTAAGTTTATACCTCTCAAGGCAGACCATCGAATGAAAAGTTCTGGTTACAGTACCATTTGCGGTTTCCTTAAGCAAAAAACTTGTGAAATGCTCTTTTTACTGTCGAGTATAAGTTTATTTACAAAATATACTACTATGTTCCAGAAAGAGGAACCATTCAAATATTAATCCTTTTGAAAAAAATAATTTAATGCCATCACAGAATTTGATTTTTGAAAAGATTTACAAAAAGAGCTATTAGCAGTTCCAGAAAAGGATAAAATATTATTTTTGCATAATGTGCAGAAACATTATTTGGCCGCCGGATCCTACTTAATTACAGCTGTTGAATAACAATCTTAAATATTTAAGATGTCTTAATCCTAGCAGTAGAAAATATGACTCAACGGTTAAAGATTTAACTAATCTTTTAAATAGCCTTCCGCTAGATCTAAAGTTGGATTGTGTAGTTGACGAATGTAAATTGCTACAGTTAGAGGAAGAGCCTCAAGAAGGAAATGTTAGAGTAGAAGAATATTGGAACTACTATTTTGAAAAAAGAATCATGCAGGCGAAATAAGATATCCTTCAGTTCAAACTTTATTTAAGGCAGCGTTAAGTATTAACCTTGGAAGCGCCGAAGTTGAAAGATTGTTCTCTTTGTCTAATCAAGTAATCTGTGAGCTAAGAACAAATATGAAAGAAAAAATGCTAAATTCACGGCTCATTATTTGCGACGCATTAAAAATGTATGACAATAAGCCAGCACTTGTGCCCATTAGCAAAAATTTAATAGCAATGGCCCGAGTTGCTTACAAAAATTATAATATGAGTTTAGAAGAAGAAAAAGAAGAAAATAAAAACAAAATGATGAAAATGCTTTAAAGAAGTTATTGCACGAAGAAAGATTAAAGAGATGATGCAAATAATAAAAGTAAAGATGAGGTGAAATAATTAGAAATCGAACTAAAAAAGAAAAAATGATGCTAAGCTACAAGCCACGGGATCAGATCAACTTATAAATGAAGCCTCAGACAGACTCAAAGGCACATTAAAAAAGGGTGACCTTGCAGAAGCCAAAATTGCTGAAGCATTGATTGAGGGATTTTTAACATCAGAAAAAGAACTAGAGAATAAGGAAAAAGAGGTGATCCAAATTCAAAACCAAATAGGCAAGAGGCAAAAAAGTTTAATAACAAACTTTTTTGCTAAGAGACCGAGAAAAGAACAAACTGAATGTTTGATTTGTTTAGGTTTAAGTTTTCGTTCAATGTTTTGTACCTGTTTCTGTTCCTAAAAAGTTTCTAATAAATTAATAGTTTAGTAGGCCATACCCCATCCAGGTCAAGTTCAACTTTTTTCTGTTTACTATAGTAGTATTTTCATTAAAAATTTATTCGAATAAAGCTGAATTTGACCTAACCGGCCATTTGGTAGGGGATTATTACTAAAATAATATATTTGCAATTTGCACTAATATTTGATTAAAAAAAACTTCATATTTTTTTTAAAGTTCATATTTCAAAAAAAAAATCTTTATATTTTCATATTATTTTCGTCCTGACCTGTTCCGGTCCCTGAGCATACCAAATGATAACTGGATGGTTCTGGTACGATATCAAGATTCACGGTTAGAACAAATCTAGTATCACCTCAATAATTGAATTCTGAAGACAAGTCTTCAAAAGTCAAGTTATCTTTGAAACTATTTCCTCAAAAACTTTCAGGCAAATGCTTTTCAAAGAACAGAATAGGTATTTCCCAGGCCAAGCTTCTCTGATGTGTGTACATGCTAATTGAGAGATGCTGATGGTGTAAATAAAGTAGCTTCTTCTTTAGGATGGCTTTCCTTTTCATAAAAACATTCAAACATTGATGCCAAATGCAACATTTTTTGTTAAAATTGTGCAAAATTTGGGTGGCTGTGAAGTTTCAGTGGATAGAATACCAAAAAGCCAAAAGGGCATTTAACTGAATTGAATGTAAATGTATCGAACTACAAAACCCATGACACATGACTGAACCAGTCTTCTTATTGTTTACATACAAATGTTGAAAAAAATTGATATTTCATGAAAATAAAACTGGAGCAATGCGATTTTCACGCTAATTGATTAGAAAAACCATATTTTTCCCTAAATACAAAGTCATGCTACATCTTCCACAGACACCCTAAATTGACCCCCTTTTAAACAAAATCTTTTAGAATTTATGTCATCATTAGTTTTTCGAAATGGCTGAAGACCACATAGTTTTGTGCATTTTTCGCATGAATAGAACCTAGTCTATCACACTATATCAGTGGTTTTACCCCTGTTTATATACCGAATTTCAAAAATAACCTATTTTCTAGACTATATGACCTAACCATATTACCCCCATCCTCTCACCATGAGAATAGTTATTCGTTCACGATCATTCAGACAATCCTTCGGACGATCCATTTTCCATTAGAAAAACTGAATGCTTTAAACAACAGAGTATCGAGGATGTTTTTAATGTGCATCGCCTGTATTTGTAAGACCCATCTTGTCGCCGCCCAGTTTTCTTAATTGAAAATGGATCGTCCGAGGGATCGTATGACGGACCATGAACGAATGACTATGAT